ATGGAATTGTCATCTGTTTAGAAAATCATCTTTTATTGACTCATTTTTACAGTAGGGATTAATAAAACTTATAAACAACTAGGCATGAAGCAATTGCAATAAACAGTTAATAAAGGCCTATTGAATAAAATTTGTTTTTATGCTGGAACTATAAGGTGTGAAATTATAAATTAACTACATTTCTAGCTAGTGCCTGTCTTGTCTTATTGTAGAGTTAGAACAAAACTGGAAGGGGGTGTGCATGGGGGTTTGCACAATTGGCATGGAATGACCCAATTCTAAGATCTCATTGTGGGATTCATACCTGGACAAATACATATGGTATATAGTATTTGNTAATTAGTCTGGAAACAAGGGGACCCAATTCTTGCATTCTGTGAAAACGGGTAAGGTTGACTGTAACGTAATAATCTTTATCTTAGTTATCGTTACTTTTGCCCGAGCAACGCCGGGCCCACCTGCTAGTTACAGTATAATTTTATGGATTATTTTTTATGAGTAGATTATAGAATACAGTAGAGAGGTTGTGACCGATGTTTTCAGCCTAAACGTGAACGTCGGACATCAAGCGCTGCCATTCATTATCAACCTTCTTGAATTGCCAATTCAAGAAGGTTGATAATAGCATTCACTATGTCTAGCATGGCAAGTAGAAGTTTGGCTTAAACTTCATTTTTTTGTATTTGGGGTTAAAATTATGACTTATTATATTAAAATAATGATTATTTAAGCATTTATGAATAATATTGTAAAGAAAACAGACAATTTTAATCCAGAAATTATTTAATTATTCAATTTTTTTGCAAGTGATGTGAAGTGCCTATAGAATTTACATATTTCTGTTCATAATAGCTTATCATAATTCTGTAGGAGTAGGTGGTTTCTTTCACAGCATCTTCTACCATTAACAGCGTAAATGTTTGTAAATTTTCTAAAAATAATTTTCCGAGCTGCTTTTGGATTTACATAAACCACTACTTCCCTCAACAAAAGTATGAGGTAGTCTTATCATATGGTAGGAAACACAATGCTAATTAAAAATAATTATTATTAAACATCCTATAAATGCTTTAAAATAGTTTACTTTGTTTATTTACCTTTGCTGGTAACATTCGTCAATGTTAAATGTTTCCTCCATTTTTCAACAATATCTAAGGAGTCAGTGCGTGATTTGAACATGTGGTGCAACATGTTTTACTTAGAGTTCAAACATCAAACACGTACTTCTGTTTGCCATACAAGTTTAACATTTGAACTTTGGCTACAACCTCTCTAGTATTGCATCAAATAGTTAAGGGTGTATCATTGCATATCTCAATCAATTTAACAATTATAATTTGTAGAATTTTTTACTTGATCCTAGGGAGAGCAAAAGCCCTGTTTGTCCCTCTCTGTGGACACTCATTCCAATAGATAAATCTAAACATTAAATAATAATGTTAACTCTTAATTTTTACATAAAATTATTTCATTTTAGATACGTTGAGAAATGATACTACGAAAAATGAAATAATAAATATAATTTTCTTACTATTTTTGACCTGGAATTTTTAGTTATAATAATTTTTTAATTTTATTTATTTTATGTGGCATTATTTTAAATAGAAAAATAATCAAATTATTATTTAAATTTACTTATTACTTCATTTTCATGTGTATAACCTGCCCTGCAATTTGAGACAATTTGAAAGAGATTTTACACAATGGAGTAGATTATATGCTGATTTTAAATTGCTATGAGTTCATAATTCAATTTAAAATTCCATGCCTATGGAACAGCCATTCCAATTATATACCATATTTACTCATGTATAAGATGATCTCACATATAGGATGAGGTGTGACTTTAAAGATCAAAATAAAGAAAATTAGAGTTATTAATTCAGTTCTAATTTTATTTCATTTAATCACAAATAAAATATTATCAAATACATGTATTAAGGCAAACAACCATGTTTTCTTGACACTATCACCTTTTGTCTACTCAGACTTGCCTTCTGAAGCTTCATTACAACTCTCCTCTTTTTCACTCTCACTCCACAAAGTATCATCCTCTGATCCGTCAAGTGAATTTGAAATACAGTATTTCTTGAATGATTTTGCTGTCAGCTCTTGAGGAAATCTTTTCCACTCACCTGATACTCACGTAACAAAATCAAAAGATTATAATGCACATAACTGGAAAAGGTTTATTTTTAATGATTCAGAATGTGCAAATATTCATTAAAAATACCAATTTAACAAATATGAAATAACTACATTTATAATCAGTGCTAAGTGACCAGCTATTTTCGGATCATCTCTTTGAAAGTGACAGTTGCCTTAACCTCGATAGCACCCTGCTATAATGGCAGAATGAACTAGACACAGTTCACAAAAATTATTGCAAAAACGCAAAGAATCCTTCACCCACATGTATAGGATGATCTAAGTGTTTGAAGCAGTGAAAAATGAATAAAAACCTTGTCTTATACACAAGTAAATACAATAATTGCAGAAAATCATAGTAATTTTTGTATGTGTAATTTGTATAATATTTCTAATTTTAAATTGTTTTAATGTAGGAAGAAAGACATTGATGATATAATTATGAATATCATCACAGAGAGTAAGCAAAATGAGAATTCAGAAGAAGAAAGTCCTGAAGAAGAAGGTTCAGATGAAGAATATGAATCAGAGAGTGAGGTAAGAATCTTGAGGCTTATTTATAAATTAGTTTATGTGAATATATAATCATAAAACGTCAAAAGTTTGAAATAAATTTTATATTAATAATTTTATCTTTTAGGAAATGTAAATAAGAATTTGCTATAGGCCTATTAAATATAGGAAGCAAAAAACAGTAAATTATTACAAAATACCTTTCTCACTTTTTCAAGCAAATTTTCAATTTCAGCTATTTTGAATAGCCTTCCTCAAGTTTAACATAACAAAATAGCTAAAAATATTATTTCATTTAAATTAAAAATTTTCTAGAAAAAATGAGAAAAGTGTTTTGTAATATTATCTAGAAGTTCTAGCTTACAGTACATAGAATTAAAAAGAGTAAATGTTTAATTTTCAGGATTCTGGTTATTTACTGAGATTAACACTTTTTGAAACTAGCTTTTTATCTTCAGATACGAACAGAACATAGAGAATACAGCTATTTAAGTGAAGAACATGTAATGTACTGCACGACACATAAGGTGGGGTTACACAATTTAGGGTTCAAATCAAGTGCCAGACCTGGACTTAATGGGAAGCAAAATATAATAATCCAAAATAACACTTATATAAGTAAAAATCTGCAATAAATATTTGTTAGATTGAACAGTATTATTTATGTATAATCAACAATGATTGTAACAAGAATTAGTAATAAGTATATATTTCAAATATTCCAAAAAAAAGTTGAGATCAATTATATACAAAATTAAAAAATTAATCAAAGAAATTCTTTTTTGTATAAATCAATCAAATCTCCACCAAAATACTTAAGCAGAGAATATGCTTCTTACAAGCTGATCACTTATCAAGGAATGCCAGACAATTTGCTTCGATGAAGGTCACTATTGGGAGCTACCACACCATTGAACGGGTGTGTGATCTTTTATGTCTCTCAGTATAACTCTGTATTGCTCTATTTACATGCCCACACATCACAGGATCAGTCACTGATGTAAATTAGTATCTTTAGATTGTTTATTTTTGAATTTAGCACATTGAGGATTTCTTGGGAGTTTCCATCCTTAAAAAAAGACCCTGAAAAGAAAATAACTAACTAAAAATAGTGCCAAAAACATAAAATAATGATTGGACTTCAACTCCTTACAAACGAACAAAACATGTAAATAAAACATTCTACTGTTCTCCATTTGATGTTTTTTTATTCTCAGTATGTTCTGTTCAATTTGGATCTGAAGATGAAATGCTAAAGTACTGAAATGTTTAATTTTTATACAATTTACAAAAGCCTAATTATTTATTAATGGGTTTTTTATATATATTTATTCGTGTTTAAGATGATCTCACATATAGGATGAGGCATATAGGTTGAAAACATTTGTAAAACAATAAATATTGGTTCTCAAAGACATAAGGTCACAATACAAGATGAGGTGTAACTTTAAAGATCAAAATAAAGAAAATTAGACATACAGTAGAGCATCGATTATCCGAATGTTGATCAACCTAAATGTCACTTAACCGAAAGCTTTCCAGTTGGCAAATTTAAATTTTCACTAGTGCTGTGGCACTGCAGTCTGGCTATGTCTTGGGCTACTCCAATATTATTTTTGTTTGTGTGCGTGTTTTAGCTGGCAGCACCGGCACGACCATGAGAGGGTACTTAAGGATGTGCCAGGATTTGAATGAATTTCAACATGGGATAGGTTAATATATTTTTTCATACATAATCGGTTATCTGAAAAATTGATTTTTTGAATAACCCCAGTCCCCAATTGATTCGGATAATCGATGCTCCGCTGTATTAATACAAATCTAATTTTATTTTGTTTAATCACAACTAAAATATTATCAAATGCATGTAAATGCACACATGTTAAGTTACAGCAATGCAACACTCAGGCGATCTGTCTAGGGGTATGCCTTCTGGGAGGTCTTTTTAAGAGTAACTGGCCCCTATTCAGGTGTTACAGATGTGGAAAAAACCCTGAAAACTCCACATGGCCAGCCTGTCCTGGTGAGGCACGAATCCAAGACCAAACTCCCAGTGTTTAGGGAACAGAACCACTTGGCCACTGGTGGGCCGATTTTGGAATTCAATTCAAAAGTTTTACTTTTCCTAGTGCTATTCATCTTTGCTCCTGATAATACACAAGAGTAACAACCCAGATAAAATAGTTTTTTTTAAATACTAGAGGGCGAGCATTGGGTAAAAAATGCAAATACACGGTTGACAAAAATTACTGCAAAAAATGCAAAGAATCCTTCACTTATGCATATAGGATGATCTAGGTTTTGAAGCGGTGAAAAATAATTAAACACCTCGTCTTATATGCAAGTAAATACAGTATACATTTTACATATGCTACTATGCAAATGCATAAAGTTTCAGTCCTTACTTATGAAATATGAAGCTTAGTACAGTAGACCCCCCTATAATACGGTAGATATGTTCTGTGTTATATGAATTCTGTGTTGTATGAGTCACTTAAATACATAAGCCAATCATAGCAGGCATGTGTGCAGTTTAGCAGCTATGGTTGTTTGAAAGGTTTTCTTCCATAAAATTAATCAATTCTAGACTAATTTGGACAAAAAATTAACACACGTAAACTGGAAAGATATACTACACACAACACTTAACACCTCAATACTACTTCCAGCAGTCAAAAGATTTTAATATTCTAACGTTTTCGGCCGTCTTTTAGAGGCCCTCTTCAGGATGAAACATTAAAAAACAGTTCTATCTTTTGAAGGATTCTAATAATCGAATACAGCTGTGTTCCGAACTTTTAAATATTTAAACGATGCGTAAGATATAAAAATCGTTACGCTTACAAGACAAAAAATTATTTTAAAATAACGCTATACATAAATTATTATTGTAGAGTTGTGAAAATTAGCGCTATGTAAACACTGCTATACATTAAATATTATTAAATAGTTGTGAAAATTAGCGTGATGTAAACGCTCTGATTTCTTATACATAGCAGAAAGATTAAAAATAATTAAACTTCCGATTATTGTTGTGCCTTGTGGCAATGTAAATAATATTTCCACGATTGTGGAATCGGAATATAATCGGAGTTAATGCAGCTTCCCTTTATGGTTTCTCTATAAATCTCAATAGCCTCCAACGAGCGTAAGTCGTGTCGGTCAAAGGCCCTATGTAAAAGAGTAGCCTCATCCCAACATGGGGAAACCCCGGGCTCGGTAGCATACCGTGCTAGAGCCGTATTATACTTCTGCTTCGACACATCATATTTGTGGTCCCGTATCCTAGCCTCCAGGGATCTGTATGTGGATCCAATGTATGTTATCCGACGATTGAAACGTTCGTCATTCAAAGGTATACGGTACACCCCCGGCGCTTTTTTGTCATCGGACTTGTCCTTAGCATTAGATAAAAGTCGGAAAATATTCTGCTTTCTCTTATATGTTAAGCGCACATTCACTTCCTTAGCGATTTTACTAAAAATTCGATGAAGGGATGGTTCGTAAGGTACAATCACCCGTTTTTGCTGTGTATCAATAGTCCCCGTGTTGGTGGTAGTTATTGTAGATTGCTGCATGGTAGAAAGCCTGTCTATTAATGACTGTTGGAACCCATGTGTCGATGCTGTACGTTTGATGTTTTTCAGTTCTCTGTAAGTATCGGAAGTTTCAGAGCAGTGGGAATAAGCCCTTGAGACTAGGGCCCTAAAAGCTGATACCTTATACGTCCACGGGTCCGCTGAGTTACGAGGTATAAAGAGAGGACAGTATGTTGGTTTGCGGTAAATGGTCGTGGTTATATTATTATTCGCTGTGTTAATCTGGACATCTAAGTAGTTAACTTCTGTGCGACTTTCTTGGTCTAACTTTAGAGTTAAGCCGTAGGCGTTTTTGTTAAAGGCTTCTAACACTTTCTCTATATCAGGTTTGGTTTTCCAAATAATCAAAATATCATCCACATACCGCATGTAGCTAAGGATATTGGATTGAAAGCTTAGTAAGACCTTTTCTTCTAATTTTCGTACGACGAGTTCGCATAGATCCCCAGAGACTGGGCTACCCATTGGTACGCCTCTTTTTTGGATGTACGTTTGACCATCAAAGTAAAAAAAGGAGGAATAGCAGATTAGATGTGTAAGCTCTAGTATTTGTGAATGGAATCTCTGGCTGTCAGTTGTTGTAGTGAGAAAGAAATCCCTTAGCTCACAAAAACATGGTTCCAATCGAATGGAAGGGAACATCGATACAAAATCGAATACAGTAAGATATTCGTTCCCATTTAACTTTAACTTGTGGAGTTTGGCGAGTAGTGCGTTGGAATCGGACACAGTCAAGCCGTATGAGTTAAGATGATTTTGCAATAAGTGATGTATACGTTTCTCCAATATGAAAGTGGGAGATCTGGCTTTATCGATCACAGGTCTTAATTTATGCCCGGGTTTGTGTGTTTTGGCAAAAGCGAAAAGGCGGGGGGTGTCAGGGGAGCTAACTACCGCATTTTGAAGGCCTAAGATTGTGGCAAGGCCAGTGCGCGTGAATCTACCGACACGACTTTGCAGCCTCGTTGTGTATGAGGTGTCAGCTGGTTGACATTGTGTGTCAACTATATATTGATGTAATGCGCTGACATATGTTGCCCTTAGCATGATGACGACTGCCTTGCTTTTGTCAGACTTGACCATTGTGATGTTATTAGATTGGAGCCATTTCTTACTGCGTTTGACGTAACTCCAGAACTTGTGTACTTCGGGTTCCGGCCTGTAACTTTCAACTGCCATCAACGCCTTCCATCGAAGATAGTCCTTGCGGGTGTCCGGAAACTCAATATTTGCTCTGGAAAGTAATTTCTCTATGCTGGGAATGAAGGAAAACGGGTTTGCTGCAGCCGACTGAGGCACGAACATAGGACCAAATTCGAACGCCTTGCGGAAGTAATCTGGAGGAGATATGCTGTCCCAACAAGTTATAACGTTATTGAACTGAGGTTTAGGACATCGCTTTTGTATTTTTAATATCCAGCTGAGCTTTTTATCATATTTACGTTGTAAGTTACGCTGGACACTTGCTTCTAGATCGATTACTCTAGAGTTCACATGTTGCAGGATGGTAAAATCTTGTCTATAAATGTTCTCCTCAAGATTGATGAGTTGTTTCAATTTATAGTACATAAGGCGTCTGGTGCTTCTAATAGCTTTTCTGAGGCATAAAGCACCAGCACCAGACGCCTTATGTACTATAAATTGAAACAACTCATCAATCTTGAGGAGAACATTTATAGACAAGATTTTACCATCCTGCAACATGTGAACTCTAGAGTAATCGATCTAGAAGCAAGTGTCCAGCGTAACTTACAACGTAAATATGATAAAAAGCTCAGCTGGATATTAAAAATACAAAAGCGATGTCCTAAACCTCAGTTCAATAACGTTATAACTTGTTGGGACAGCATATCTCCTCCAGATTACTTCCGCAAGGCGTTCGAATTTGGTCCTATGTTCGTGCCTCAGTCGGCTGCAGCAAACCCGTTTTCCTTCATTCCCAGCATAGAGAAATTACTTTCCAGAGCAAATATTGAGTTTCCGGACACCCGCAAGGACTATCTTCGATGGAAGGCGTTGATGGCAGTTGAAAGTTACAGGCCGGAACCCGAAGTACACAAGTTCTGGAGTTACGTCAAACGCAGTAAGAAATGGCTCCAATCTAATAACATCACAATGGTCAAGTCTGACAAAAGCAAGGCAGTCGTCATCATGCTAAGGGCAACATATGTCAGCGCATTACATCAATATATAGTTGACACACAATGTCAACCAGCTGACACCTCATACACAACGAGGCTGCAAAGTCGTGTCGGTAGATTCACGCGCACTGGCCTTGCCACAATCTTAGGCCTTCAAAATGCGGTAGTTAGCTCCCCTGACACCCCCCGCCTTTTCGCTTTTGCCAAAACACACAAACCCGGGCATAAATTAAGACCTGTGATCGATAAAGCCAGATCTCCCACTTTCATATTGGAGAAACGTATACATCACTTATTGCAAAATCATCTTAACTCATACGGCTTGACTGTGTCCGATTCCAACGCACTACTCGCCAAACTCCACAAGTTAAAGTTAAATGGGAACGAATATCTTACTGTATTCGATTTTGTATCGATGTTCCCTTCCATTCGATTGGAACCATGTTTTTGTGAGCTAAGGGATTTCTTTCTCACTACAACAACTGACAGCCAGAGATTCCATTCACAAATACTAGAGCTTACACATCTAATCTGCTATTCCTCCTTTTTTTACTTTGATGGTCAAACGTACATCCAAAAAAGAGGCGTACCAATGGGTAGCCCAGTCTCTGGGGATCTATGCGAACTCGTCGTACGAAAATTAGAAGAAAAGGTCTTACTAAGCTTTCAATCCAATATCCTTAGCTACATGCGGTATGTGGATGATATTTTGATTATTTGGAAAACCAAACCTGATATAGAGAAAGTGTTAGAAGCCTTTAACAAAAACGCCTACGGCTTAACTCTAAAGTTAGACCAAGAAAGTCGCACAGAAGTTAACTACTTAGATGTCCAGATTAACACAGCGAATAATAATATAACCACGACCATTTACCGCAAACCAACATACTGTCCTCTCTTTATACCTCGTAACTCAGCGGACCCGTGGACGTATAAGGTATCAGCTTTTAGGGCCCTAGTCTCAAGGGCTTATTCCCACTGCTCTGAAACTTCCGATACTTACAGAGAACTGAAAAACATCAAACGTACAGCATCGACACATGGGTTCCAACAGTCATTAATAGACAGGCTTTCTACCATGCAGCAATCTACAATAACTACCACCAACACGGGGACTATTGATACACAGCAAAAACGGGTGATTGTACCTTACGAACCATCCCTTCATCGAATTTTTAGTAAAATCGCTAAGGAAGTGAATGTGCGCTTAACATATAAGAGAAAGCAGAATATTTTCCGACTTTTATCTAATGCTAAGGACAAGTCCGATGACAAAAAAGCGCCGGGGGTGTACCGTATACCTTTGAATGACGAACGTTTCAATCGTCGGATAACATACATTGGATCCACATACAGATCCCTGGAGGCTAGGATACGGGACCACAAATATGATGTGTCGAAGCAGAAGTATAATACGGCTCTAGCACGGTATGCTACCGAGCCCGGGGTTTCCCCATGTTGGGATGAGGCTACTCTTTTACATAGGGCCTTTGACCGACACGACTTACGCTCGTTGGAGGCTATTGAGATTTATAGAGAAACCATAAAGGGAAGCTGCATTAACTCCGATTATATTCCGATTCCACAATCGTGGAAATATTATTTACATTGCCACAAGGCACAACAATAATCGGAAGTTTAATTATTTTTAATCTTTCTGCTATGTATAAGAAATCAGAGCGTTTACATCACGCTAATTTTCACAACTATTTAATAATATTTAATGTATAGCAGTGTTTACATAGCGCTAATTTTCACAACTCTACAATAATAATTTATGTATAGCGTTATTTTAAAATAATTTTTTGTCTTGTAAGCGTAACGATTTTTATATCTTACGCATCGTTTAAATATTTAAAAGTTCGGAACACAGCTGTATTCGATTATTAGAATCCTTCAAAAGATAGAACTGTTTTTTAATGTTTCATCCTGAAGAGGGCCTCTAAAAGACGGCCGAAAACGTTTAGAATATTAAAATCTTTTGACTGCTGGAAGTAGTATTGAGGTGTTAAGTGTTGTGTCTAGACTAATTTGACTCAACATTTCCAAATCACTTATAATTTTTTGGGAATAATTCATATAAACTATGCTATAAACAAAATAATTGTAGGATTACTTACTGAGTGAGCACCATTTGAAGACGCCATTGCTTAAGCTTGTTTTTGTCGCAGAGCGGCTCATCAAACAGCGTGTGCATGTTTCCTGATAAGTTATTTTTCTGCAAAAAATTTGCTGAACTTTAGAGACATCATTAATATAAATATAATTTTTATGGCCATTAAATAATAAATGGTTTTAGTAGATCTGCTGCTTGTTTAAACTCAGAGGTTTGTGCAGTGTCTGCTATTGGTCCAGATTCGACCAGGGTTGGTCGAATCTGGATGCAGCAGATCTACTAAAACCAATGGTTTTAGTAGATCTGCTGCTTGTTTAAACTCAGAGGTTTGTGCAGTGTCTGCTATTGGTCCAGATTCGACCAGGGTTGGTCGAATCTGGACCAANTGCTGAACTTTAGAGACATCATTAATATAAATATAATTTTTATGGCCATTAAATAATCAATGGTTTTAGTAGATCTGCTGCTTGTTTAAACTCAGAGGTTTGTGCAGTGTCTGCTATTGGTCCAGATTCGACCAGGGTTGGTCGAATCTGGACCAATAGCACAAGTCGGCCATGTCAATATGTCTCATTCTTTTACCATGTTATATGAGCCTCTTTTAGCGCGTTATACGAACACGATCACAATTTTTCCGCCATGTTGTACGAATTCATCTTATATGAACTCGTGTTATAGGGGGGTCTACTGTATTTATATGGGAGTGATTAGTCACGAAAACAATAGATTTTTTCCAAAAATATAATATATTGGTGAAAGTAAAAATTGAGAGTTTAATCAACATTATATTACAAAATTTTGGTATAAATTTGACAAATATAGCTACAATAGACCTGATGAGAAAATTTTCTGAAAAATATCAAAAGACTAAATGATTATCAGAAGGGAAATGAATTTGATATGTTACAACTTGAATGCTCAAAATTAAAAGGAGCAGATCCTCAAATGGTGTTAGAAAAACAAAATCTTTATTTGGAATACTTTATTCCAACATCTCAAGGAGTGATCAAGGTCTGTAAAAACACCTTAGTGTCATTTACCAGACACACAAAATGAAGAATAGCATTCATTGAGAAATATTTTGCTGAGTATCATGTTACAAAACCAGAAAGTCAAGGATGATCCAGAAAAGAGATGACAGAAGTGAATGATCATATAAGCTGTTTCAAGTGCATCATATCCCATTATGCAAGTAGTAGTTCAGTCCTTTGTTTACCTTTCCTGATACACTTAAGAAAATGCATGATCTTTTTGTTCACGTACATGGAAAAATCTTCAGCTAAAAGTATTATAAAAGCATATTTGTTGGTTGCTTTAATCTGATATTTGGATTGCCAAAAAAAAAAGATGTTTGTTTTGATTGCATTTATGTGAATTTGAAGTTTGCCTGACAATATCAAAAGCGCTCAGCAACTAAATAAATAGAAACAAAACACCTTTTTTGCCAAGAAATAAATATAATTTTAAAAAAACAAACGTTTTCAGCCTAGTTAATAAGCCATCTTCAGGTCGAAAAATATGTTCTATTCATGGAACATTTACGTTCCATTTTTTGACCTGAAGATGGCCTATTAACTAGGCTGAAAACGTTTGTTTTTTAAAATTATATTTATTTCTCAGCAAAAAAGGTGTTTTGTTTCTATTTGTTTGCCTGACAATTGATACTGAGTTGAAAACCTGAGCAACAAAAAAAAACTGATCCACAACCAACATAGCAACTGTTTTTCCAGCTTCTTTGTATTGCTCCTAGGGGTGACAAAATGATTTTAATCTTTGACATGATTACCAAAAATACTGATTTTTGGAAAAGCATACTATGCAAGGCGGTTGTGGTTTCATACTTTTGGGATTTTGTTGCACAAAGGAAAGCATTCCAAGCAGGATCAATAAATGTCCTACACCTGGAATGAGAACAAAGCAGGGAAAGGTGCTAACAAAATATCAAGCTGCATATCTGGTTTTTTGGCTGAAGTCGTTACTTCAGATATGAAGATTGTCATGCTTTTCAGCAATGTCTGTGGTCCTGAGAATCACAACTATATTATTATTACAGCATTGTAGATGATAGCTAATTCTTTTGCATTAGTGTTTATCCATTACAGTCCAATCAGGAGTCACACCTTTATTCCTGTTGACAGAGCTTTTGGACTTGTCATGAAGGATCTTTAAATTATCAGGACTATCATGAGTCCTGATAGTTTAAAGATCCTTGAAGACAAATGAAAATTTGTTTGTAGAGGTAAAGACTGCACAGGTTGTGATCTGTTCTGTTTCTGCAGAATCATGTTTCTTCAGTTCTGCAGAAACAGAACAGATCACAACCTGTGCAGTCTTTACCTCTACAGACAGATTTTCATAATGAAAGATTTTAAGAAAGCAGCCAATAAAACACTGAAAAAGAAGTAAGACTTCAAAATCTTACTTCTGGACATGGATGATTCAGATCACAGACAAAGATGTTGGCTGTAGGATGACATACATGGATTGATATGATATTTAACAAATGGATAGGGATCCATGCTAAAATTCAGATCTGCCACAGACTGCCATGGCACAAAGTGAAAGCACATTAGGAGGAGTCTGATCTTGCTCAGATATGTTGCAGAACCAGACTTTTATAGAAATGCACTAAAACATGTTAAAAAAATTATTATTAGACTAACAAAATTTTAGCAGGATTTGGATTTTTAGGTAAAACTAATGTTTTCTTTATTAGTGGTAAAAATGAAGATAAATATGATCATCCATTAACCGATTTTTGACTAAGGCCAATCTGCTAGATTATCAGGCTATAATGTAACTACTATTTAATAATTAAATATTTAGTAATTTTGTCTAGTGATAAGTGTTAGATGCCATCTCTTGATAAATTTAATTAATAATTGTAAATAAATTAATTTATTATTACATTTCTCTAGAGATAATGTGAGGTAGATCATACTTAAAGTTAGAATGGAAGAGAAATGCTGAATCACTGAATCATATGTGGGTGTGATAGGCACCAAGTCAGACTCAACAGTTACAAAAATATCATCCTGATTTATTTATACATAAAAATGTGGCTTACAACAATACTATTAGGAGTTGAATTCCTATGGATCCTTTGTTCCTCTTGTTGAAGTTGAGAAATCCAGTAGAGGTATTTGTGTTAACTACCCTGGGGTAATGTTGTCAGCAGTCCTCAGAGGAGTGAAATCTGTTGTTTAGTGCAGGGGTCTTCAACCTGAGTTCCGCGGAACCCTAGAGTTCCCTAGAATGTTGACAGGGGTTCCGCAAGTGATCACTATTTGCTCAGCCAAAACGCACGTAAAATGGAAATTATCTATACAAGGAATTTTTTATGTNTAGGCCTATTAAATATAGGAAGCAAAAAACAGTAAATTACAAAATACCTTTCTCACTTTTTCGAGCAAATTTTCAATTTCAGCTATTTTGAATAACCTTCCTCAAGTTAACAAAATAGCTAAAAATATTATTTCATTTAAATTAAAAATTTTCTAGAAAAAATGAGAAAAGTGTTTTGTAATATTATCTAGAAGTTCTAGCTTACAGTACATAGAATTAAAAAGAGTAAATGTTTAATTTTCAGGATTCTGGTTATTTACTGAGATTAACACTTTTTGAAACTAGCTTTTTGTCTTCAGATACGAACAGAACATAGAGAATACAGCTATTTAAGTGAAGAACATGTAATGTACTGCACGACACATAAGGTGGGGTTACACAATTTAGGGTTCAAATCAAGTGCCAGACCTGGACTTAATGGGAAACAAAATATAATAATCCAAAATAACACTTATATAAGTAAAAATCTGCAATAAATATTTGTTAGATTGAACAGTATTATTTATGTATAATCAACAATGATTGTAACAAGAATTAGTAATAAGTATATATTTCAAATATTCCAAAAAAAAGTTGAGATCAATTATATACAAAATTAAAAAATTAATCAAAGAAATTCTTTTTTGTATAAATCAATCAAATCTCCACCAAAATACTTAAGCAGAGAATATGCTTCTTACAAGCTGATCACTTATCAAGGAATGCCAGACAATTTGCTTCGATGAAGGTCACTGTTGGGAGCTACCCCACCCTTTTGCGGGTGTGTGTTCTTTTTTGTCTCTCAGTATAACTCTGTATTGCTCTATTTACATGCCCACACATCACAGGATCAGTCACTGATGTAAATTAGTATCTTTAGATTGTTTATTTTTGAATTTAGCACATTGAGGATTTCTTGGGAGTTTCCATCCTTAAAAAAAGACCCTGAAAAGAAAATAACTAACTAAAAATAGTGCCAAAAACATAAAATAATGATTGGACTTCAACTCCTTACAAACGAACAAAACATGTAAATAAAACATTCTACTGTTCTCCATTTGATGTTTTTTTATTCTCAGTATGTTCTGTTCAATTTGGATCTGAAGATGAAATGCTAAAGTACTGAAATGTTTAATTTTTATACAATTTACAAAAGCCTAATTATTTATTAATGGGTTTTTTATATATATTTATTCGTGTTTAAGATGATCTCACATATAGGATGAGGCATATAGGTTGAAAACATTTGTAAAACAATAAATATTGGTTCTCAAAGACATAAGGTCACAATACAAGATGAGGTGTAACTTTAAAGATCAAAATAAAGAAAATTAGACATACAGTAGAGCATCGATTATCCGAATGTTGATCAACCTAAATGTCACTTAACCGAAAGCTTTCCAGTTGGCAAATTTAAATTTTCACTAGTGCTGTGGCACTGCAGTCTGGCTATGTCTTGGGCTACTCCAATATTATTTTTGTTTGTGTGCGTGTTTTAGCTGGCAGCACCGGCACGA